TATAGAATGTGAATAAGCAAGAATAACATGCCATTTAAGTACTTTGCATTGCAGGCATACCATTCTTTTGGTCCTTTTTGTTAACCAAATATCCTACTAGACTATTCTGTAGTACAAAATACATGATTAGCTTCCCATTTTTATAGAGCATTAGAACTGGCTAGATGTGGAGTTCAAAGAATTTAAAAGTAATCCATTATTATACTTGCTTGGGGTCCCTGTGTCAGCTCTGTGACTGTAATGTTTCTATTTCTAAAAAAGACCCGAGGAAACTGACCATATACTTTCTTAGATGCCCAAAATAAACTGGGGGGAAGTTTCCATGTATTGGTTATAGTGATATTATGGTCCTATAATAGTAGGTTAGTAAATCTTCAAACAGAAGCATGATTAAGGTGACTGTCCCTTCAAATGAAAACAAGGTTTTAAAGACTGTAAAGGGCAGTGACAAAGGGTTGCTGTGTGTATATGATCACTATATAGAAAAGTGAAGGTCAGAAATAATTACAGCAATATTAGATTAGAATCTCAAACTCACCTGGTTGACTGATGGAAAAGAGGGGAACAGTCAGCTCCTCTTGTCTTGCCATCTTGTCATTCTCTTCCACATTATTCATTCTTAAAAAAGGGTGTTAAAAGGAAAGTCTACACTTCAAATGATGCAGCAACGCAGCGACACTTGTCCAGCTGCAATTCTGTAGCGTTTCAGTGAAGATGCTACTACGCTGATGGGGAAAACTTCTCCCATTGGTGTAGTGTTAATCCACCTCCGCAAGAGGCAGTAGCTATGGCACTGGGAGAAGTCTCCTATCAACATTGTGTTATCTACACTGGGAGTTAAGTGTGTATAACACACCTGAGTGACATAGTTATACTGACATAAGTTGCTAGTGTAGACCAAGCCTAACAAAAATGTACATTGTATGTAAACATAAATTGTATTAGCGTCATCCATGCCACCAACTGTTTACAAAGTTGGTTTAAATTGTAGTGTAAACAGGACTTAATGGAGTGAAACTGAGATGATCCTGGAGAACTTCAATACCTTTATCATGAGGAAATGCTTCATGCAGGAGCAGCATAAGAATTTCTCTTTGCACCCATGTGGGGAAGCGTAGGGGACCCAGGAAAAGGAAATTTGCTTGTTTTGGCTGCAATTCTCTCGATCTTGAGTAGTCCTCTGGGAGGCCAGATTGATTTAAATCACCAAGTGGAAAGCCTCGATTTAAATAATCAACTTTAATCAGCTTTTCCATTTGAACTTCAGTTTTCTTCTAAAGAAAGGTGCAGTCTCATTAGTTGTAAATCGATGTTTTAATAGCTTTCTCAACCAAATAGCCTTTACACTAGATTTGGTACTTCTTTTTACTACCTAGGAGGATACGCTATAACTCTATACATTCATTTAAGCAGTTATATAGCTTAATATTTTCAGATTCTTAAATGTACGTTTCGGTATGTTAGAAAATGGTGATCTATTGCTCACTTACTAGATATGTAACTTTTTGCTGATGAATTGTCAAGCTGTGTTAAGATGGTAACTGTGTAATTAAATTCCAAACAGCATATAAAACTTATTTTTATTAAACAAAACAACCTTAAATGTTTTGAATATAGAAACTTCTCTTATCAAAATGTTTCACATGTACAACGAAATGATTTATTAAACAGGAGGATTAACTATATTCCGTGAATTAAACTGATTATTTCATCTTAGCCTGGGAAATTTTTCAATTATGCCTAAGTGAAAGTGATTGGAGCTTAAGTTCCTACTCACCTAAGTCTTTTGAAAATGAGACGGTCTCCTAGGACCTAGGTCACTTAGGTTGACCTACTGTGCCATATTTATAAAGCTTGACCTCAAAAGTTAGATGTTTCCCCAATTCTTTTGTTAGATAGAAAAGCAGCCTTTACCTCGTTTTTTTGATGAGACACTCAGGGATTCAAGAAAAATGTATTTAATAAATCAAAAAATCCAATTTAAATAAAAATCATTAACTTTTATTCACCCTCTTCTCTGCTGATACTGGAAGAACTTATGCTGTTCCTTCCAACATACAGCTTTCTCCCCCTCATCTACCAAAAGTTAACCTGGTAGTTTCACTAACATTGGTTTACCACAACCAGTTATTTAAAATTCATCTTTGTCTAGGAAAAATCAGGATGATCAACTTTTCCTGTTGGACAATCAGATACAGAATCCAAGTTGGCCTCGGAGAAGTAACAAATTTCAATACAATCCCAGTTTGATAATGCATACTATTAACTTTACTTCCACGTACAAGAAATTGGTTGCCTGAGGTTTGGACAAATTCTGCTTGCCTTCCCAATGTGTATGTGCTTATGGGATCTGACCGCTTCTGGAGGCAGTAAACAAGACACTTTTGGGGACAGGGGAACTTGAGATGCTGCATTTTTTTCTTCCCCATTCACATGTCTTAACTTACAATAGTATTTCCCAGAACAGCATCATGCAGCTTGGCACTGTCCTGGTGGAGCTCATTCTAGGTGAGAAGGAAGAGAAACAAACTTTAAGTTTGTCACTGTCTCCTCCTTCCCCACCCCCACCCCTCAAAACACCAAACCAAACTTGCCTCTTCAGCAGTAGAGGAACATAATTCTCAGCTGCTTGATCCATAGGATGTCCCCAAAACAGGAAGTGCATAGTGAAATTTGACTGGGTTTGTGTCACATTTCATGCCGCTACAGTCTTTGCAAATACTTACTATAGCATTTTTCCGAGGCCCAACTTGTGTGGAAGCGAACTGCTGAATATATCGAGGTGGGGAGGAGGGTTAACTTTTGCCACCTATCCTGCAGTAATGTACTGTCTGCAGAAAAGTCTCCTGCATTTCCGCCTCAATTAAAAAACACAACAAAATACCAGTTTTCCAATATTTCCATTTAGTGGGAAACTCTTCCGCTGCCATTGTATACACACTTTTCAATAAACAGACCTTCGATTTCTTTTGTCTAATTAGCTATGACACTTGGGTTTCTAGGTCACCAGAATATCTTCTCTCTCCCCATTCCCTTGTGGGCATGCAGCTTCAGGTACTTTGCCTTTTTATGGTTTTATATAATCAATCCAGAATTAACAAACATAAGAAACAGAAATTCTGTAATTAGAAAGGGATGGGGGTGGGGGTGGCGTTAAATATTCATTTCCCCCTTATTCTTGTTGGATTTCCAAACAAATCTTTGGAACTTAACTCATCTGTCCTATTTATAGCAGAAATATTCAAAACACTTAATTATTTCTGGCCTTAAAATGAGCTACTTGGCAGCATTTGCTAGTCAGCAATAGAAAGGCAGTGATGCGTAGAAGTCTGCAGTGGTGCCATAACTTTCATGTGAACCTTGCTGTGAATTTACAAAATGAGACAACTGGAAAAAAGGGGAGATAGCAATTGTTGATTTTAAAAAATCATTTTATCACTTAGGAGTGTAGCAGAACTCTCTCATAACTGAACTATGAAATATTTGTTTCAATATTGTAAATGTGCTTATCAATTAACTAAAGGCAAATAAATTTTATTTGCATCTGTCCCTTAAGAGAACTAGTAACTCTATTAAAATTTCACACATGCCTACACTTTTTCTATTCAGTTCACTACCCCGAAACACTAACCACACTCAGGCCTCTCTCACTAGAGAAAGGGGAGAAACTAAAAATGCCGGTCCTTTAGCTGGGTGAAAAGGTCTGACAAAAGCCTTAAAAATTAAATTATGCTTCTTCACACTATATCAAACACTTCAACAAGAACTAGCTTGGAATCTTAGCTCAAACTTTACATCCAAAAGCTCAAATAGTAAACTTTCTGATCATAATAAATTTCCCTTTAAAAGGGGCCGCTATAAACTTTAAAATATATTTGTCTGAAATTTTGGTACCTAGTGAGCTTACAAGCAAAACCCAAGATTACTATGATTGGAAAGTTATTGAGACAAACTCCCCCAGTTTTTTCAGTTGACTGTGCATGTGATAGCGCTTTGTGTACTCCCTTTCAGAGTCTTCTGTATCAGCCTTTCCCTTATAAATATCAACATAGGAGCAAAACAACATCTATTTTTTAAAAAGCCAGCACCTCTTATTTAAAAAGGTTATTGTATCAGAAAATTTTTAACTTAAAAGACCCCAAGCAAACTGTTCCTTTAAGCAGTTTTCGTACTAGTATCCCTAAGTAACTTTTTACTGCTAAATTTTGAGCTGATTTTACTGACTTCTCATGTAAGGCATCATTTTCCTATAGGCTCCAGAAAGATGGAATTCATGGAGGTCATTCGACACTTACGAAAGCCTGGTGTTAGGAAATAATCCTAGGTTTTGATCTTTTCTTTTGTAACCAGTTCTTGTGGTGGTGAGTGCAGACAAATTCACTCTGTAGTCACTTAATGAAAGACCATTCCTGCCCCAAAGAGACTACAATCCGAATAAACATTAATAAGTGGGAGGGGAAACGGGCACAGAGAAGTGGAGTATTCTGTCTTCTCTTGAGATATAGTGGACCGAACAGTTGGTAAAACCATTGTTTTACAATAATTTCGTTCTGGAAAATTAAAACTCATATAAGGCAAACACTGGATACTGTGACGGTCAGGCCAGAAGGCTACAGGAGAGTGATAGACGGCAGGTATATTAACCTCAGGTTAAGCAGGTCCCTTTTCCTGGGTAAGGTAACAGGGGCAGTTCCACAACAGGAGCTTGCTGGAACCAATTAAGGCAGGCTAATTATGACACCTGGAGCCAATTAATAATAATAATAATTAATGGAGATATCCCATCTCCTATAACTGGAAGGGACCTTGAAAGGTCATCGAGTCCAGCCCCCTTCCTTCACTAGCAGGACCAAGTACTGATTTTGCCCCAGATCCCTAAGTGGCCCTCTCAAGGATTGAACTCTCAACCCTGGGTTTAGCAGGCCAATGCGCAAACCACTGAGCTATCCCTCCCCCCCATTAAGAAGCTGCTAGAATCCATTAAGACAGGCAGGCTAATCAGAGCACCTGGTTTAAAAAGGACTTCACTGCAGTCAGTGAGGGGTGTGCGAGGAGCTGGGAGCAAGAGGTGCAAGAAGCTGAGAATGAGTAGACGTTCTGTTGGAGTACTGAGAAGTACAAGTGTTATCAGACATCAGGAGGAAGGTCCGGTGGTGAGGACAAAGAAGGTGTTGGGAGGAGGCCATGGGGAAGTAGCCCAGGGAGTTGTAGCTGTCACGCAGCTGTTACAGGAGACACTAAAGACAGTTACCGTCCACAGGGCCCTGGGCTGGACCCCGAAGTAGAGGGCTGGCCTGGGTTCCCACCAACTCCCTATTTGATATGAAAGGAGTCGATCTGGACTGTGGGTCCCACTGGAGGGGAAGATCTCTGGCCTGTCCCCTGACCCATTAGGTGGGCCAGCAGAGACTGTGGGGGATTGTTCTGCTCCTTTTCCCCATGCTGGCCAGTGATGAGGTTAGCCGAATGAACGGCAGGTTTGTGCCACTAACAAAAGGAGCCAAACTGAGGACTGCCCAAAACCTCTGAGGCAAGCAAATCCGCCAGAAAGTGCAGAACCTCCAAGGCAAAGGAGGAACTTTGTCACAACACCAAAATAGTACTAATTGCTCTCAATCAGTTTGTAAGCACCTAGAGGATATAGGGTTATAAGGAATAGCCAGCATGGATTTGTCAAGAACAGATCATACCAAACAATCTAATTTCCGGGTTTGACAGGTTTATTGGGCTGGCTGAGCAGGTGGGAGGTTGAGGGGGAAAGGGAGGGAAGCAGTAGACATGATATATCTTGATTGTAGCAAGGCTTTTGACACAGGCCTACATGACAGTGTTCTGAGCAAACTCGGGAAATGTGGTCTAGATGAAATTACTAGGTGGATGCACGACTGGTTGACAGACCAAAATCAGAGTAGTTAATCAATGGTTCACTTTCAGACTGACAGGGTGTATCTAATGGAGTCTCTTAAGGGTCAGTCTTAGGGCTGGTCTAGTCAATATTTTCATTGATGACTTGGATAATGTAGCGGAGAGTGTGCCTATAAACGTTTCAGATATCAACAAGCTTGGAGGGGTTGCAAACGCATTGGAGGACAGGATTAGAATTCAAAATTGGAAGATATCTGAATTTCATCTTATTGAATTTAGACTAAGTGCACATTACTTCACTAAGAAGGAACCATCAAATGCACAACTGCAAACTGAGGAATAACTAGCTAGGCAGTGGAACTGCAGAAAAGGATCCGGGGGTTATAGTGGATAACATTGAATGAGTCAATGTAATGCAGCTGTGAGAGGCTGATATGTAAGAGACTGGAGGTAATTGTCCTGCTCTACTTGTCACAACTGAGGACTCAGCTGAAGTACTGTCCAATTCTGGGCACCACACACTAGGAAAGATTTGGAGAGTCCTGAGGAGAGGAGAGAACTGTCCATATGCAAACTGATTCTGCATCTCCTCCTTGAGTCTGCAAGTAGCAATGGTGCCACCACTGTTCTATAGCTTTGCAAAGCACACTGTTCTATTTCACTGTGGCTATTCAGAATTGCGTGGGCAGCTTGACACTGGCAAGAACATCCATTTGCTGTTTGGAAAAGTTATGAGCAGGCATTGGAGTTATTCACTGAGGCAAAAGACACTTCCCCTCCCCACACCACTTTAAAAAAAAAAAAAAAGGCTGGTTGAAGAGTTACACTAGTTGAGATGACTTCTCTTCTATCCGTCCTGGCCCTCCTTATGGCAGCCATGTGGCTTGTGGGGATAGAAGAGACAAAATTCCTCCTTCTGTTGTGCATCTGTGGTGTGTAAGAGTGTGGCGCTTCAGATTAGAGCCCTGCGCAGAACTTTTTAAAATTCCATTCCCACCTATTCCTGCTGTTATGGCATCAGGTCCTACGGGATCCCAGTCCCGCTGCAGGGCTCTACTTCCGATTGTTGTAAGATATTACAAGCCAGAGGCTGAGAAGATAGAGGTCTAAGCATAGTCCAGAGAAAACACTGAAGTTTGGTTTTTCATCAGTTTGGTGCTCCTTCACGTCGCTGATGAATGGACTCTTACCCTTGTCTTTTATATCTCCATCTGGCTAGTAGATGTTTGGTAAGTTTTTCAAGACCTGCTGGTAGCCAAGGCCTTTCAGCAGACAAATGCAGCTGGATAATCTCCCCCTCACTTATACCAAGCCAAAAAACAATTTTTTGGGGTGGGGGGAGGAACACCCCCCTCACTTCCCCCAAGTGCATTTTTGTTCCAGATCTCATCCATGTTGCAAACTCAAGCTGGCAACTTTAGTATCTTGCTCAGCTTTAGTCCTGACTTAGTTAGAATTAACTTTTGTAAACGCAAACTCTTAAGTAATGATACTTGATGGGCCCATTCCCAGAGTTGAGTTTTGAGGTAGGAAACTAAATCTTTTTTTGTGTATGCCTCCAATTTAAATTCCTGTAGCTATGCCTAATAGTACTAGTACTCAGTTGTGTGGAAAATACTAGCTGCGGAAACTAGGCCAGACCTTACTACTGAACTTGGAAAACTGAATACAATGTCCAAATAGGCAAGTACGTCTCAACAGTGCTGTGGGGGATAGGTGTAAAGGGTTGGCTCTAGAGTGCTATGCGACAAACTCTGTTTATAGATCCCTGGTGGAATAGGCGCTAACACTAACTTAAACAGGTGTTCTCTGCAATACTCATCTTTGATATAGGACAAGAACTATTTAGCTTTGACTCTATCAAGACCCAGAAAATATGCACAGTTATAGGAGTTGAGGAAATCTGAGACTCATATCCTAGGATCTGCCCGACTTCTAATGTTTGCACATCATCTTCTGTTGATGGAATGAAGACAATATCATGTTTCCTGTGAAATTCAGTTAATCTTGGGACTGTAAGTAGAAAGGTTTTAAAGATCATTCTGTTGCTATGAAAGCTAAGAGGAGAAAGAGCCTTGTGGTAATTATCCATTAAGCTTATTTCTGTAAGAGCTGAGGGAGGTACTGATGCAGGGTGCTCAAAATGAAGTGTAGAGCCTTCAAGGGAAAATGAGGTTCCAGGCAGGAACTTGACTGTTCCCCACTGCTTTGAAAGACTTTTTTCAGAACTATAAACTGAGTACTACCCTTTTTTATTTAAGTGGGCCATGAGACATCATGTGTTCACATGCTTGGAAGCAGAAATTTCTTATTTTCATAGACTGGAGTGCATGTGTTCTTAGAACTGGATAACAATAGACAGCTCTTGCCAAGAATCAGACGAATGGTCACTATCATGCCACTGGAGTCTTTAGGCTTTGTGGTAAACTACTGAATGTCTTACTATGCCACAAAACCATTGGAATGCATAGGAGCTCTACTCAGAGGTGTCCCTGTCTGAGAGCAGGATCCAGGATACTGTAGGCCTGCCAGAAATGACTTGTCAGAACCAGCAGATGTTGGCTAGGATTCTGCTATCAATGAGTCAAATGGTGGCAGCATCATTTGTTTATACCTAATGATTTGTCCCCACAAGTGACAGCTGTCACTGGATCCTGAGGTACCTGTGAAAGCAACTCATACGAGTACCTGCTGCATTGCATCCTGGTGATGGGAGACCTCTACCTTCTGGGCTTGATTGAGATTATCATTGGACTGTCAGTTGGATCTGGACTTCCACGTTCCTTCAGCTCAAATTGGAATGACCGCAGTGCGCATTATTATGGTTTGACTAAACCCAGTCAAGAGAGCCTCACACCCAAGACACTTGCTTTCTCTGTGAATTACAGCTACACACAAATCATCTGGAGATTAGGGCAAACCAGAGCCTATAGGGACCTGGTATTCCACCAGGTGTCACTTAAAGTGAGAGGGAAATAGGATCATGCCTGTGTTCAGAAGCCCTGTTGGTGTGGCATAGCGAGCCGTCTCTCAACACACTTCTAGTGGGAAAGGAGAAGCAAATTGGTGTCAACCCTCAAATGATCCCTGGAACGATTCTTTTAAACAAATCCAAGTAGTACGTGCTGCCCATCCTGAGCACGCTAACTACAGGGACATGCAGCAAGACTTTTCTAGCTGTTCACAACCACCACACCAGGGGCATGTGGTGCTAAATGAGTCAGGTCCTAAACCACTTAGGGCTGTATCTAAGCAAACTGGGAACCAGTGGAACATGCAGTGAGTACTGATGTCTATGGTTATGTCAACACAGCACCCTAAGGCCAGGTCTGTGTGACCCACACCTGCAGACTCAGTGTTTCCAAGTCCATGCTTGAGCATCCACACTGCATTGGAAAACCTGACCCTAATGACCATGCTGGCTCGTCCATACAGCAGTACGCAGACCTGCGTCAGAAATTCAGCGTCTGTGGCCATATATTATCATATACAAGGATTCCTAGTGCCCTTGCCTGCTGAAGCTGCTCTGGGGCTTGTTTCATAGTGGGCTGTGGGAGAACTTGTCTGTCTGTCCCACCAGAATTGAATGACAGTGTTTTGGGTGGCTTTGGCCTGCCCGCACATTCGGACGAGCCAGTTTGTGTCCGCGCACTCTCAGCAGCCAGAGCCAACATGGATCCTGCCCCAGTGGAAGAACTTCTCTACCTAATGCTCTGTCCTAACTTGGAAAACAGGCAGAGCACCTGCAAGATGCTGGTGGACATTTTGGCCTTTTCTGAGCTGCTAAAGACACCTCTCAAAGGGGCATACTAATGTGCCAGCTGCGACCCAGCTGATGCTGCTCATGCCTGTTGCTTTAGCGGCAGATTCCACCTGCGTAGACTGGCGCTTCTGGAGCAGGGCCACCAGCACAGGCTACTGGGATCACACAGTCATGTTGGGATGACTATCAGTGGATCCAGTACTTCCGAAGGAAGAAGCAGATGTTTCTGGGGGTCTGTGATCAGTTAGCCCCTACCCTCCGGTCCCCAGTCACCCACTTGAGGGAGGCCCTCCTGGTGCAGAAGTGGGTAGCTTTAGCAATCTGGAAGCTGGCTACCCCCGACTGCTACAGGTCTGCGGCTAACCAGTTTGAAGTTGGCAAATAAACGGTGAGGATTGTGACAGAGGTTTGTGAAGCGATCAGGACGATGTACCCAAAGGTGGTGGGCATGACAGGTGTTCCTGAAACATTTGCAGGCTTTGATTGAATGGGCTTTCCAACCTGCACCGGGGCCATCGATCGGATCCATGCATATAGATTGCCCTCCACAAGGAGCACGAGTACATAAACCACAAAGTGTATGACTCCGTCATTAGGCAGGTTCATGGACACTAACGTGGGATGCACTGGCAGGGGGCATGATACCAGAGTGCTGGAGATGGGGACTTTACCTTCATTATAAATGGAACACTGTCCCCGCTGTTACTCTAGGGGACACTGCTTACCCATTGTTGCCATAGCTTATGAATCCATACCATGGTTTCAGAGGACCTGGCAAAAGAAGGGTAAGCTGCAGACCCAGTGACTGTAGAATGGTGGTGGAATATGCATTTGAAATCCATTCCTGCTGCCTTCAAAACCGTTTGGATGCCAGTGTAGTCAGTACAGTCTGCATTATTGCGGCTTGCTGTGTTTTGCACACTGTCTGCATGGAGAAGGGGGATCTTTTTGCCAGGAGTGGACTCAAGACACTGCCAGATTTCTGCATAAGTGCACACAACCAGACAGTGAACCTGTGCTGACTGCTGCTGGATCCACATGCACAATCGAAATCAGGGATGCCTTGTGTGCCCACGTAATGGATTTGCACATTGGAGTTTTGAATAAGTCCTTGCATATTGACATGAATATTTAAAGGAGATAATCTCCAACTTTTGCTAGATCTTCAATTGTAGTGCTCAAGGATAAATGTTAAGATGAATTTTCAAGGATCAACAAAAGTTTGTGCCTTCTCCCCTTTTCTAGAGAATCTTAAAGATGTGTTTTCTGTTTGGGCTTTTTATACAGTATTGGGAATACTTAGTCTTGACTTTCTTCACTTGCAGGGGAATCTGAATGAAAGTTTGAGGTTGACCTGGGTTGTAGCACTCTTAGCACCCTGTGATGGAGAAGGCCAATTTTGGTGCTTTCAAGGCTAAGTTGGGACTTGCTGCTATTAATGTCTGTGTGTCTGTATAATGTGAAACTGTGACAAAGATGTGGTGGCCATTTATTCTCTGCTAGGCCAGGAAGAATTGTCCGCTCAAAAAAGAGAAGTTGTTTCTAAATCCTTGACCTTGAAAAGGCCATCTTATTAATGCTTCATTCAAGACACTTAATTTCAAGTGGGGCAAAATCACGTCTGCATTTTGCATGCCCATCTAAATATATTTTAGGATAAGTGCATACATTTATCTTGCCTACTACTTCGTGTTCTCTTAAAATGGATTCTAGCTCTGTATGTTCAATGTTAGCTTATTAACAAGCAGCGTTGAAAATGCAAACTTCCCAATGTACTTAATTAAAATCAGTGTTGTGTTGGAATCGGAGTTCATAAATTTCAGCACACAATCTTTTTCAGTATACCTCTGTGAAACACTAGGTAATATTAAGTTAGTACAATTTGGTAACCAAAACTGTCAATCTTCTGTCAATGGAAATGTAGTAGTGTTCTAAAAATAAGTTTTATGTCCTCCTTTAACATAGAAATTAACATAAAAATTGAATTTTTATTTAAGTGAGAAGAGGTAGCAAAGATCCTTGTTTGTGACAGAAGCTACGTTTCCAAAGGTCTTAGAGAGGGTTTCAGAATATTAATGCTGAAAAGATAATTTTGGAATGCGAGACTCCTTTACAATTGAAAGAAAGTTGAGGTGCTAAGATACAGATGCTGCTCCGCAGCGTATTACATATGGAGCTCATAAAAATAGACAGTTTTCTGTGTCAGAGAACTTGTGCCGTTGGGGACAAGATCCATGTGAAATGGAGAATATAATTAATTCTGACAACTGGCCCAAGACAACTTACAATACCTGCAAAGTCATCATTCATAGCAATATGATAATGCCTTGACCCATGCGTCATCAAATTAACCATGGAAAAAGTATATGTGCAGTGTTGTAGCCATGTTGGTTCCAGGGTATTAGAGAGACAAGGTGAGTGGGGTAATATCCTTTATTGGACTAACTTCTTTTAGTGAGAGAGACGCTTTCGAGCTACAGGGCTCTTCTTCAGATCTGGCAAAAGTATGTGACCTGTAATTGCATTATTGGAATTCAGAAAAGTGTTATATGTTTAGCTTGATTCACTAATTGTCTTTTCAAATGTTAATTTCTAGATAAGAGTTCGGAGGAGGATGCCCTGGTAGACTCTGATGCCCTGGTTAACTCGGAAGATGAAGCAGATTTGAAGACACCTTGCCCTATACAAATTGTTCTTGCACATGAAGATGACCATAACTTTGAACTTGATGAAGAGGCATTGGAGAACATTTTGCTTCAGGAACACATAAAAGATCTCAATATAGTAGTAGTATCTGTAGCAGGGGCTTTCCGCAAAGGGAAATCGTTTCTACTGGACTTCATGCTTAGATATATGTACAACAAGGTGAGTAGTTAAAGACTCTTCCTGCAGGAATAAATAAGATACCACCTAATTTGCTAGCTCTTTGCTTTGGCGATCTTGTTTATATACCATACTTTCTCTTTATAAAAAAACAAAAACAAAACAACCCTGCCCTTCTGACTCCAGAAATATTGACATGGCGTCAAGTTGGTGGAGGCCTTACAGTCATCATGATGGCATTTCTCTGTAATGTGATAACATTTGAATACAGCCTCCAGTCAATTTGAGTATTTCAGGGAATAGTCTGGGCATCAATAACCAGAACCCTGTTGATTTTATGGGAACCTAAAGAGGAAAAATGGAGTATGGCCATCAGATTAGCACAGCTGCAAGCACCGCTGCAATTGTCTCAAAGACTTGGTTGATGATGCTTGTTAATTCCTTGCAGCATAACAATGCCTCTATCTCATCTCCGCTGTGAACACCCTGAATCACTTCTCTCCTAGTCAGAAAGAATAAAGGCAGCGGATGCGGGGGGGAAGGAATAGGGTATCCTGATATGGGGGGAGGCACGGGAGGAATCGGGGTGCACACATACCTCTCACATGTGAGGGAGGGAGAAGGTATTGGAAAACACAGCATTTC